TGACCTCTTTTATTTCTTGACAGCAGGATGAAATTTCTCCCACCCCTTTCTTGGCCAGTGACAAGGGCTGCAAAACAGCCCCTGCATAATAGAAATGGTCTTTGAGCTCTGGTCCAAGAGTACCACTAAGATGGAGAAGGTCCTCTGTAAATGTCTCATATCTTCCTGTCTTCATGTGTCTTACTGTTTCTCCAGGTGGCCAGGATGTATGGAAAAACACACGTACTCTGTCTAGGAAAAACACCAGTGGTTTTGCAAGATGGATTTCAGGCAGTGAAGGATGCCTTGATTGGCATGCAAAATGACTCTGTGAGAAACCCTTGGCATTCTTTTTTAGGGATTTTGTGGGAGTCCCCTATGGTACTTTCCGTTGTTGTGTGTACTGAAATGTTGTCAGCAGGGGTAGCTGTTCAGAGAATGGGGTTTGGGACAATGACTTCCCCTGCTCCTAATGCCTCTTTTCAAGAGGAGCTGCTCTTGGCAGCAAGATGGATGCTGTAGGGCCACTGCTGCATGTCCTTCTCAAACACAAATACACATCAGTACACAAAACTAATGCGTTTTCTATTTATAAACTTGCATAGCCTGGGCAATTCTTAGTTACTGGGCATGTTACCAAGCTATCTCAAGAGGTCTTTGTGGTAAAAAATGTAAAACTGTAAAAATGTCAGCCAGCAGGACCCAGCATGTGTTGAGTGCATGGTTCTACATAGAGTAGCAGAAAAAGAAAGACAGGTAAGGAGCTTATTTCTCACAAAAAGGATCAAGTAGATATGAATAAAACAGCATAAACCCCTCTGATTCTCCATATAAATACTTCCAGGGGTCATTCCACTTATGGTGGTAAATCTTGGAACCACTACAATTCCTGCTTATGGAGACACCAATCCCATACCTCTCCCCAGTCCTTCTCCATTTTGTAGCAGTATCATCTTTGCCAGCAGGCATGTCTGGAAGCAGCAGAGACAATTCAGGCTGATGATTGAGGAACCTAGGACTACAGAAGAAAATCCTGGAAGCCTGGCTCCAGGATGAAGCTTGATGGTTGACTGAGGTCTTTGCTAGAGAAAGAGGTGAAATATAGGTATGTATATGACCATGACATGGACTCATTCTCCTTATTTCCAACTCTACTTTTTCTGCTGAAAGTTCAGTTTCTGGACTAGGTTCAATGGGAGGTTTACACAGCTGATGCTCTCACAGGAGAGCCTAGAACATCACACCTGACTCATTGCTCTCGTGCTAACCCTTTATGGGAGAAAGTGACAGACGAGAGACTGCAAAATCGTGCTGATTATGCATTTTCCTGTAGGATGGAATCTTTCCCCCATTCATTATAAGGGTGCCTGAAGAATGATCCCCCAGTTAGACTTCTGAATCTTGATTCCTGCAGGCTATTTGTGCAATTCCATGCAAATCAAGAGCTCAGCATAACAAAAGGTCAGAGCCTATAAAGGAAGTTAATGATGCAGCTTGCTTTGTTCCTGGCCACCGATGTCTCTGTTTCACTCCCTTCTTGCATCAAGTGGATGTGCTTTTTGGACATTGCTTCGCTCCAGAGCTCAGAGGCTTCCAGGCCGTGGCAGAATTCCATGGCACCTCCTGGCCTCAGGTGAGCAAGGGCTTCCCTGTAATTTTATCAAAGCCTGACAGCATTCCTCAGTGAGCTGTGGCATGAAGTGGTTGTTCTTTGCCAATGCACAGAGAGGAAGAAGAGCTCTTAAATAAACACTGAACTCTGCTAAAGCTAGCACTCACTGCTGTCCCTTTCTTTCTCAATAATGATCCCTCTGCAACCATTCCTGGCTTGCTTTGTCTACAGACCCTTGAATTTCCTGTAATAGCTCTCTTCAGAGAGACTGACCTAGCTTTACATAGATGTTATTCAGCATCAAGTTTGCCATGCGGCCAGAATCAGGTTTTTCCTCTTAGCTTGTGCCTTGAAGGGCTTTGTAATAGCCCTGATTTCCTGTGTTAGACTGGGCTGCAAAAACTATCCAGAAAAAAACAGGACAAGGTAACATGAGCGTGGCTTTGAGAACTATAGACAAGTGTTGACTTAAAATTTAGGAAGGAACAGATCATTTAGGAAAGACTTCACTTGGAAAACATAAGAAAAACTGTACTTGAGGGCATTTAAATTCCCCCAAACCTGAAAGTTACTAGTAGAGAGCAGGCAATCTGGAAAGTATATGACAATGGTCATCCTTCACATACTTCTCTACAAAATAATTTTTTTTTTCAATTAAGTGGTCATTCATTCCCTATAGTCAGACAAGTAATACATCTGGATCATTACAACAGTTAGGCACAGTTCAGCTGTGAACATTCAGGCTTTAAATGCACTGTGAAACCAAGATATCATGGCATTCCTTGCACTTGTATTTCCAGGCGCACCTCTACGACACTTTCCCATCACTACTGAGGCCCTTAAGCACTATGTTAATGAGGAAGCTGCTGGCACTGACACACTTGCGGGACCTATGAACACTTACTATGGATGAGGTCAGGAACTACCAGAAGAGCTGGGTGCCTGCAGAGCTACAAGACTTCATTGCTGCATGCCTAACTCAGATGTTAAACGTAACAAGTAATTTTCTCTTGCGTAGCTATAACATATTTAAAATGCTTGTAGTTAAGGTATTTCCAGCTACACTGCTACTTCTTTCTCTTTCTTTTCCTCCTGAGAGACTGTTGAGCTATTTCTTTCCTTGAATTCAACCTAAAAATTAAAGAGAGTAATGTTGTTCCACTCTAGACTGAAAGAAAACTTATTGTGTGCTGTCTTCCTCAGTTGGCAAGATCATATATTTTTAACAGAGCAACATGGCTGCTGTCTCACCAGCTTCATCAACTCAGTGTGGAGTCTGTGGTGAAAAACAGATCTCTTGCTGGAAATTTGCTATGCTATTAAAACAGTCTTAAATCTCACTGTCTGTCTTGTATCTGCAAGCAAAGGATGACCCACCCTCTCCATTCATAGCACAAGAGACCACAGATCTCTTTGTAGTGGGCTCAGACACCGCCACTTTCCCTTTATGCTGAGCTCTCCATGATGGTGTATCTGGAAATGCAAGGTGGGAAATGTGTGTAGCTGCACTTACATGTGCTGTGTTCTTGCACATGGCAGGGTAACAGGCAAAACACTGTTGTTCAGCTGCCCTAATCCTGCAGTGTAAGGTGTCTTGGGTATTTTGAGTTTCTGCATAGCGTCTGCACATCAACTGCCTTCTTGAATACCTTTGTTCTGCAGAAAGAGTCTGCGTTGGATTCTGTCATTGGTCCATCCTGTGGAATTGAATATAAGGACTGAACGATCCTGCCACATGCAAATGCAATCCTACAAGAGATTATGTGTTATAGCAGCACTAGTGCCACGGGGTTTATGTGAACTCAGGACATCACACTGCAAGGCTTCCCTGTCACTAAGGTCTGTTAATGCCACTAAGCTTTGGGGATACCCTTCAACAAAGCAAAGCCAAGCATTACATCCCTCTCACTGACTTAAACATCACATCTTATGTTTACATTTGGTCCCAGGCTGCAAAACTACCTGAAGGTGTTTGAACAGCTCATGAGGAACTCTTCACTGTGAAGAGGATGTTGGATGTTATCTATATCCTATAATATGAATAAACCTATACTCAGTTCCCCCTCCTATTGCACAGATGTTACTTTTACCACTTTTCTATACAGGATTACAAGAGCTAGATCAGTGTATAAAGGTACCAGTATATTGACCTTTGAATTCTTTGAAACTGGTACAAGCTAAGTATAAAAAGCACAGAAATTTTAGAAAAATATTGTCTATATATGCAATTTATTACATCAGCAGAATAGTTTAAATCCATATCCAACTTCAGGTAGGTGGTCTTCCCAACAGATAAGACCTGTGTGGCTTTGGGAGAATATGTCTGAGAAAATCAGGATCCAAGTTAGGGGCCTTGATAAGTGTGAAGCCTTCAGTTCAGTGGGATTTAGTGGTGGGTTTTTTTTAAAAAGTTTGATTACTGTAATAACTACATCTATGGTGCTCTAAAATAGATCTTGCAGAGTGACTAATAATTTTTAAATAAGCTATTCTGTAGGAGATAGCACAGTGTGACCCTGTTTCTCACCCCATAATAATTAATTGGCACTTGCACTGAAGAATTTCAAGAGAGCCATTGATATCCTGACAATTTAAGTCACTAGTTTTTGATTCTGTGAGAAAGATCTTTGTATTTACACTTTGTATTTTAGCAAGACACTTCAATTTTCCCCAACATATTTTCTGTCTAGTATGATCAAGAGCAGTGGGAGAGTCCTTGACAGTTTAACCCTGGTCATTTCCTGGACAAGGATGGAAACTTTGTAAACAGAGAAGCTTTTATGCCATTTTCTGCAAGTAAAAGTGATCCTCAGTCTTGCATACAGCTGTCCTGCAGTGACTGTTTCGCAGCCCAAAACTTTTGAAACGTCTGATCTCCTGCCATGAGTATCTTTATTCATTCCCATAATAAGGTCCATGTAGGAAGAAAATGGAGGTGGTGTTTTTGGAGACCTGCTGAAACTTCACTATTTTGAGGAAAAGCAGCTGAAACGAGCTGGGGTCTAAATGAAAGGAAATGCAATTGTGGTAGGAAAGTAGATTGTCATGTGGGAAAACAAGGGCTGATTAAAGCCCCTTCAGAACGCAGGGGATGCAAACCTGTTTGCTAATCAAGAACTGGCTCCTGGAAGGATAATACTAATACTGACATCAGCGGAGGCTGAGAGGACAGGAAAGGAAACAGCGTCTATGTTAGGTCTCCATAGCAATTTGTATAACACATTCTTTCTGAAATATTTTGCTAAACTGCTAGTCTTCAGAGCACAAAGATCCCATTTATGTGTAACTGCAACCAACCAGGGAATTCTTCATGGGTTTTTTAAACTATTTCTGCTGCTATCTATTTATAAATAATTTTCTATGTCTTCTAAGATTATGAACACAAGTTTGAGCCCATAAAACAACGGGAATGGGGGTGCCAGAGGTAAAGATATCTACCAAAGCCAAATTAATTGTACGAATAATTTGTGAAGCTGCTTTACAAATCACGAGGCTGCAGCCTGGGGCCAGCCGCGCCACACCCAGCATGGCAGCTTTATTTTCCCCGCGCAACACCCAAGATGGCGGCC